TGTTAAGAACTAGAAGTGACATTGGAAATGCAGATGAAAACAGGAATCAACCATCTGTGATTGAGCGAGTACCTGTTGTAGCTGCCGCACCTGAGCCAATGATAATGGTTGGGGTACAAGCAATGATCCAAATGATGTTGGATCATCAAATGGAAGAAACTAGGCATCTGCTTCAGCAGAATCGCGAAGAGCCTTCAATGCTAATTGAACAGCCCGAATTAAATGAAGGACATTTGGATGGAGGAAACTTTAGTGGGACTGTTCGTCAAGCTGACCCACCGATTGTTAGGCGAGTAAACCAGGATTGAGGAAATGATGGGCGTGGGTGCAAGTACAAGCATTTCATGGTATCCAAGCCACCATGTCTATCCAGAAGCCCGATGCCGGTAGAAGTTATAAAATTGATCTCTGAAATGGAGACAATGTTCGAGAGTTGTGAATGCAGCAACAGACAGAAGACCACTCTTGCAATCCCTCTGTTAAAATCTGGCGTGTTGAATTGGTGGAAGTTTTTATCTGACTCGATGCCCAAGTGAGAAGCGAGCAAAATGTCTTGGGGAGACTTTGTGGTGCAACTCAAATTGCAATACTACTCCGAGCAAGACATTCTAGAAATCAATAATGAGTTTCAGAATTTGGAGAATGGAAAATTTAGCGTTACTGAATATGCTGCTAGTTTCATAGAAAATATGAAGCTTATCCCATATTTAGTTCCAACTGAACTCTCTAAGGTCAACAAGTTTTCCCTTAGACAACCAGCGGACTATGGTCCAATGATTAAGTAAACAACCACATTGAAAGCCGCCATCTGGGTTGCTTGAAATGTTCAGACCCAAATCAGGGAGAAGGGTCTGGAAAGGTCAGAGGTTGGTGAGAAGAGGAAGTTCAACAAACCGTTGGGGTCCAGCAAAAAGGTTAAATTCTCGAAGTCTAGTTCGAGAGGGGGTGGAGGAGGCGAAGCGAAATGGTGTGACAAATGCAAGAAGAAGCATCTTGGGAAATGTGGTGGGGAAGCCATATGATTCAAATTTGGAAAGCCAGGTAACTATGCCAACGTATGCAGCCTTACCAAGAAAGTCTGCTATGGGTGTGGTGGGGATGGGCACATCTTGAGGGAATGTCCGAAGAAGAAGGAGGCAGCAAAGCCGAACATTCCACCAAAGCCAAAGGCGAGAGCCTTCCAGATGACACTGGAAGCTGCTAAAGATGAAGTTGATGTCGCTTCAGGTACCTTTCTCGTAAACGAATTGTCTGCCCAAAGCTTATTTGATTCTGGATCCAACTACTCCTTTATTTCGCATGAATTTGGTAGAAAACTAGCTTTGCATGTTGATAGACTAGATAATGCTTTATTAGTCGAAGTTGCTAGTGGAAAGTTTGCACCTGTTAGCCATTGTATGAAAAACATCTTAATTGATTTGAATGGGAATAAGTTCCACAAGGAATTATTGCCTATTGAGTTAAATGGTTTCGACATCATGTTGGGACTGGATTGGCTTAGTGCCAATGATGCCGAGATATTATGCAAGAAGAAGATAGTAAAAGTAAGCCCACCATGAAAATAGTCATTTATGGTGTATGGGGACAAACACAGAGTAAATTCTAGAATCATTTCTCTAATGAAAGCCAGAAAGTGTTTGGGCAAAGGATGTACATCATATTTGGCATTCGTGATCGATGCTAAGAAGGAGAAAAAGGAGATGCAGATCATTCCTATCGTGTGTGGTTATCCGGAAGTATTTCCTGTAGATCTTCCCGAATTACCGCCTGATAGACAAATGGAGTTCAAAATAGACTTAATACCAGGGACGATGCCAATAGAAAAAGCACCTTACAGACTAACATTGACGGATATGAAGGAGCTGATGATGCAACTTCAGGAGTTATTGGACAAAGGTTTCATTAGACCTAGTTCATCACCCTGGGGAGCACTGGTGTTATTCATAAAGAAAAAGGACGGGAGTATGAAGATGTGCATCAATTATAGAGAGCTAAACAAGGCAACAATAAAGAATAGATATTTGTTGCCGAGGATTGATGACATGTTCGATCAACTACAAGGTTCAAGTTATTTTTCAAAGATCAACCTAAGGTCAGGATATCATCATCTGAAAGTAAGGGAGCAGGATATCGAGAAGACTGCATTCAGAACACGATATGGACACTAAGAGTTTTTGTTCATGTCGTTTGTACTTGTTGGGTTTTGAGCATTCTAACACTTCCTAAGTGTATATGCAACCCTAATAAACCTTGGATCTATGTTTGTCTAAGATACATGCAAATAATTATTTTTCCAAGGTTCATATCCTAACTAGCATGGCATGGGGAACATGAATCAAATAAAGCTAGTAGAAATACTTACCTTGTAGTAGTAGTTGATTTCTTGGAGTTTTAGAGCCTAGCACCAACAGCGTGAACGCCTCAAATGGAAATCACAAATCACCACAAACTTGGAACTTTGAGAGAATAGTCACTACTATCTTGAAATCGGCCCTCACCTCAACATTTATCAACCAGTGTGATTTCAAGAACTAAAGCCTCCTTTATATAGTGTGGTGGATTAGGGTTACATCCATGTAAACCCTAATACCCATGTCTCTTCATTTCCATGAGATCCATGGGTTAAAGCTCCATGGAGTATCCATAGACTTTTCCATGCAAGCCTAGCCTATTCCAAATAAGCATTAGCCCACACTATATAAATATAGAAGCCCATATTTAATTAGTAATATCTTTGATCTCTAAATTAATCCTAGATTAATTATAGATCAATACCAATTAAATAATATGATCTTATATTAATATATTAGAACTTATAATATATTAATAAATCATAACTTGTACTATTCTCAAATATTATCCATAAATTGTTCGGGTGAAGTGCAACCCAAATGGACCATGTCGGGTTGGGTCAAGTACATACCAAATATAGTTATGGACTTAGACACTATATCCAACAGTCTCCCACTTAGATAAGTCTAATAACTATAGTTGCATGTATGACTTCAGGAACCGACCAGCATTAGTAGCTCTTTAAACTCTGTTGAACTAGAACGCGCCATTTTAGATAAGTGATCATATAATCCTCTACTCAAGATATCAGCCGGACAAATACATGGAACATGCTCTTACTTATTGTCCAACATTTGTTTCCCGATTTCCGATTTGTTTGACATAGAACTTAACTGAACACATCAATTTAGTTCTGACCGGGCCCGGTACATAGGTCAAAACACAATCATCAAGGGGCCCAGATATCAGCTTCTAATCCTAGAAGGAACAAATAAACTTCGACTCATATGTTTGTTCTACCACTCATTGAATTATACACAAAGGCGTGTTTTATAACATCGAGTTACCAATGTGTTTTCGTACAATCGATGCATAATCAACTCCTAAGTAACAAATCATATCTCTAGGTTTGAAGACTTATATGATATTACCGTCTCTTGATCACTCGAGATAAAATTCCATGAAGTGATTCCAGTGAGCGTGGGTTGAGTCCAATGCTCAGAACTTATGAGCACTCATGATTGTTGTAGCCATGTCCAACACCTTAGACCTCTATAACCAATCATGAAAGTCTTGATTCAAACCTACTTCCGACATATGACCGACTGTGGAAGTTTGAATAATTTGATATACCAAACATAATTATTCTGGAAGTCAAAACATGCAAAAGAAATATAGTAAACGATCGACAAGAGATAGCAACACTTTACTCATAAATAAAACACCTTTTATTCATCATCTAATGTCAATTACACTTCACAAATTTCATAATTTATCTAACTACTAAAACTTATATCATCCTTCAGCCCTATGCTCCGAGCATGATGGAGATGCTTAACCCTACTCAGTCCCTTCGTGAGGGGATCTGTTGGGTTCTCATCTGATGATACCCTCTTTGCCACGAGGATTCCTTCTTCTATTCGATGTCTGATGAAGTGATATTTTCTGTCAATGTGTCTGGATCTCCCATGACACTACTAGAAAAACAGCCTTTTACGACGCTCATTGCGCATCGTAAAAGGCTTAGACGACGCGCAAATGCGTGTCAAGGAAGGCCCTGTCATAAAGAGAGACGACACACATTTATGACGCTCATTTACGACGCGCAATTACGACGCGCGTTTACAACACGCAATGCGTATCAAGGAAGGCCCTATCATAAAGGAAGACGACACGCATTCGCGTGTCGTAACCTTATGACGCGCATGTTAATGACACGCAATGCGTATCAAGAAAGCCCCTGTCAAGAAAGGCCATGTCATAAATGAAGATGACACACATTTTTACGTATCATAAATTTAAATGTTTAAAAAAAATATTTACAGATTTACTAATTTTCAAATTAAATTTGTATTTAATGTCTCATAATAGAAAATAAATATCATATACAAAAAATACAATCCATTGCATAAAATTTAATGTCATACAAAAAAAATACCATAAATAACAAAGATAATTCATTTCACTAATATGTCAAATACAAATAATTATTCCAATAGTGAGTAAATGTTATAAAAAAATGAACTCAAGAGAAGCAGAATATACAATTGCATTATCTAGCTTACTATCTGCCAACAACTCTCTGTGTGTTTGCTTTTTGCTTGAGTCTCGTTTCCTCAAAAACTACTAGATACAAGGCTTGCTTCTTCCTCGTTACTGTAAGCAGAACCGAATTACATTAGATGCTAATGTAATTAATTATGTTGCTAAGGATAAGGGTGGGGCTACTAGAAAGACTTATTTATATTCACCTAGAACATAAGTATCTTTATGAATCTTAACTAACATGAGAACAAAAGGCTTATGGATGTTAATACATAATAGTTTAGGGGCACAACCGTAAATAAAAAATTAAATACTGCATGTGGGTTTGTTGTTAGAACAAGGTTACAAATGCAGCTATAAACATGCATGAATTATAAACATCATGTAATAAAACTAATTGTATTTTACTCTAAATTCAATAAAACATTACAATTATTCATTTTTTAAAGTCTCAAATCTTTAATCTTGTAATTCATTCCACTTCCATTTGTAGTATGATGAATCTGAACACAGAAGTGAAATGGCAAAGAATTCTTTAGAGAGATATACTCACTATTATGAACGTTGGGCTACTAACCAATCAGTATACAAGGGCATAATTGTAATTTTCTATATATTTTTAAATTTATGTTTCTGATACATAATACTTTGATTCTTTTTTTCACATTAACAGTCGAGGCAAAAAGCACTTGCGGATTTACTGCATATGCAAACAGTTCATGTAAGTTAGAATTCCAATATTTTTTTTGGTAATATTATATTAAAAACTAAAAAGTATTTTTTTTTTTAGTATTTTATTAGGTTTATTAACATCTGGTAAAATTTCAGCTTGCAAAACTTAGTGAGAGGTAATGCCAACCCAAGACACAGTTGAAATTTATTCTAGAAGTTAGGTTGCAGGTATATGCTTACTTATATTTAAATTTTAATATATTTTTGTTATTCTAAATGATGGTTTTCTATTGCAGATAGTTGAATGTAGGCGTGTGTTAAAATGGACATATGCGTATGGGTATTAGGTTGGGATAAATTCGTAAAATTTAACTGTGTGTATATGATAGGGATGTAGCTTTAGAACAAGTAGAACAATTACAATATTATCCTCCAGGGAACAAATAGACTTACCACTTCAGATGCATCAGGAGTGAGTTCAATAAAAGATCCAACATCAACCAAGGGACTTTTTCTATTCTTCAGCAACCAAGCATCAATCGTAGGATTTTCGACCAATTCCTTATCCTCTATCAATAACACCAAGAAATCCTACACAGATAAAACCATGATTCTCTTAACAATTACTGGTTTATAGTTGTATAAATATACTCTTACTCACCATAGAGGAAATATCATATTTAAACATGTTGACTCTCTTTTCTGTTAACCAGTAATCAAGAAATGGGCCCACAAGTAGAAGGGATCCAGCCTTGATAGGTGTTGTATGTCCCAACAGATTGAAAGAGCTTAACAAGCCACTAAATTGATCCATTTTATTTCCCAATATCAGTAGACCAATTATCATTTAGACCTTTTAAATCGTTACCCTTTGGTGACCAAATTAGTCCCTCTATCATGCCACTGAATTGATCCATTTTATTTCCCAATATAGCCAACTCTCTCCAGCCACGTTGTCCACACATCATCTCATCCATTCTGCATAATGATACCAATTTCTTCAGATAACGGACAAGACAAAACAGCCATGTATTTGGTTAGTGTGAATAGATAACATAGAAGAGTAACCTGAGAAAAGATTTTTGGGCAGCAGTTCCAATATCACCAGCAGCATAAGCTTCCTGCTTCAGGAGTTTCTGGTGAAGATACTTGGCACAGAACTTAGAGACTGCCTACCCTGAAAGATAAAAAAAAAAAGCTTAGTGTGGACACCTTATATATAAAGAAACAAACATGTGTGTGTATAATCTATATCCATATGCTTACCTCCATGGCCATCATAAAAGCCAAAGAAAGATGTGGAGTTGTCCAAGTCAAGTAAAGCAGCATGCTACCAAACACCTCATATTGACACATAAAATCTTGGTTAATTACTATAGTGATCAATGTTTGGGCTGACTGAAAGTTGTATCATAGAGAGATATAGATAAAATTCAACAAGATTACAAGAGCATTAAACTATCATACCTTTTTAGAATATAGAAAATCCAAACAGGAACAATAGCTTATATAACTAACAAGTAGCCTATACTAGGGACTTACAGCATCTTCCATCGATGTGCGCCATCCTTGCATGGATGAGACTCCATATCTCAGTTTCTCATTCTCACCATCGTCGGATGTTTTATCAGTTTTAGGTGTGCTTAGGTAAACCCCCATATCTAGTAATCAACCCGGATGGTAAGCCTAAAATCACAAAATCATCAATCACAATTACAGAAGTTACAGTTAGATATAAAATTAGACGCCACATCTGGCATGCTAAAGAAAAATACAGCTATATCACTTCATATGTACAGTATATTATCAGACACCTAAAACCAGTACAGTTCAGATGCATCATGAAAACACGAAACAAATAAAGGCAACGAAACCAAAACACCAAACAGAAACACAGATTCCAAACGGTCATGCCCTAAAATGCTAAGCCTAATTGAAATTTCAAACAATTATCGAATTAATGGCAAATCTAACGTAATATTAGATATTCCACAAAGTTCAAATCTAGAAAACGAAGATGCTCACATAAAGCCCAATCACGATGGATCAATGATTTCAAAAACGAAATGACAGATTAAGGGTGAATCAAATTGTAAAAATTATCTATTTCTAAGCGAGCATCCGAGTGTAATTAAGATCTAAGCCGCATCACAACAAATCAAATATTCAAATTAACGAAACTTACGAGAGATTGGAATTGTCCGTACAGTTTTGTTCCAGTGGCGAACCCCCCAGTCCCCAGAGTACTTGGGTTACTGAATTAGCCCGGGTAAAAAAGGGGGATTGAATTTTGGATGGATTATTTATCGCCAGGTGGAATACACTTATTGGGTTACATAAAAAATATTGATAATTGTCAACAACTAGAACTTGAAAAACACTAAAAGCAACGGATACAAGATAAGTAAACTCATAACTCAATGGAGTTATGCCTTTAACAGCTGCACTTATCATGTGAGGTGTCTCGGAAGCTAAACTGAAACCTAAATCATAACGATCCTCTGTAAAAAAGTTAGAAATAGATATAGTAGATATATAATTGAAACCCTCCCCGACTAGAAAAATTACCTCTCCATGCCCTAAAATGATTGAAAATGATAGTGGAGCGAGTACTCTATGACTACATTCATAATCATCACGGAAGATTGAGGTATCCATAAAATATGAAACGGAAAAATCATTTTTTACAGAACACTCGCCAATCAGATGACGAATCTAACAAACATAGGAAGGAGAAGTGTGGTGAACCAGAGAGAAGATGAAGGGTGGTGGGTGCCTGGGTGGTTGTCGAGCAGTATGGGGTAGAGAGAGAGAGAGAGAGTGAGAGAGAGAGAGAGAGAGAGAGAGACTTGTAGATTAAGACCATGGCGGATGAGGCATTTTATCAAACATGTTGCGTGCATCATCGATTCTTCCCCATTTACTGTATAAGTCGATTTCTCGATTTCTATTTCTCTTTCTCCCATTCCAGTCTCCGACTTTCTGTTGCTGTGATAGAGAGTTTCCTTCCGTCGCTGGGATTTGAGTAGTGCCACCACTCCTCCGAAGGCTCTGAGTTTTCTCGGTCTAGGTCACCAGACCTAATGTTGCTGGCAAGGGCAGACGAGGTGAGATTGCTGGAGATGAGGGGCTCCATCGGCTGGGTGATGCTGGAAAGCATTGGACGGTGGGGCGGGGCTAGACGGAGGTCAGAGGTGGGAGGCGCCAACACCAAGAGAAACGTCAGAGGTGGTAGAAGCTGTCGACGTCGAGAACGGAGAAGAAGAGAAAGGGTTTGTCGAAGTGAGAAGGAGAGAAAGGGAAGTTGAAGAGAGAATGAGTAGTACAGGAGGGCATAATCGGGGCAAGTTCTTGAAAAAAAAATTCCTAGCTACTAGGGAAATTAAAGTGGAGGGAGAAAAAAAAAAGGAAGGCGGGGATTTTAAGTTTTTGGGATTTCATTTTCCCCGGATGGAACGCGCGCGTTCTATTAAAATTTATAAAAGCAACGGTCGTAGACGACACGCAGGTGCCCTCCGTGTTTTTATTTTTCTTTGTTTAGACACTAATTTTAGGGCCCGCAAAAATGCGCGTCTGAAATCCTTTAAATTTTGGAAGAGATGACATTATTTTTTAGACACTCACCTTTGCGTATCATAAATCACTGCGTGTCATGGTTCGCGCGTCGTAAAAGGCTATTTTTCTAGTTGTGTGATCTCTTGGTTCCTTGGCTAAGGCAACTGCACTATTGCTGTCACAGAAAATCTCCATTAGCTCTTTTATAGCTGGTACAACTCCAAGGTCTCCGATGAAGTTATTTAGCCATATAGCCTCCTTTGCTGCCTCGCTTGCTGCTATATACTCTGATTCACAAGTGGAAATCAGCCACTGTCTCCTTCTTGGAACTCTTCCAAGTGATTGATTGCTCCTCCGTTTAAGGTAAAGACCCAGCCCGATTGAGAGCAGAAATTATCCCTATCAGTCTGGAAGATAGCATCACTATACCCTACAACTCTCAAGTCATCACTCCCACCGAAGGTAAGGACCCAGTCCTTAGTCCTTCGCAGGTACTTGAGGATATTCTTTACCTCAGTCCAGTGTTCCTTGCCAGGGTTCCCTTGATACCTGCTAACCATGCTCAAAGTAAAGGCTACATCAGGTCGAGTACACGTCATATCATACATGATCGATCCTACAGCTGAAGCATAAGGTAGTCGACTCATTTCTGCTATCTCAGCCTCAGTACTAGGGCTTTGTGTCTTACTCAATCTGGCGTTACTCTGAATGGGTAACTCACCTTTCTTGGAGTTATGCATGTTGAATCTTTTCAACAACTTCTCCACATAAGTGCTTTGACTAAGTCCAATTAGTCTTTTACTTCTGTTTCTCAAAATCCTTATCCCTAGGATATAGGCAGCTTCACTAAGGTCCTTCATAGTGAAACACTTCCCAAGCCAGGACTTTACTTCCTGTAGGGTTGGGATGTCGTTTCCTATGAGTAGTATGTCATCCACATACAATACCAAATAGCTAACTATACTCCCACTAGCCTTGACATAAACACAAGATTCATCTTCACTCGTAGAAAAGCCAAATTCCTTGACCTTTTCATCAAAGCAAAGATTCCATCTGCGAGGTGCTTGCTTTAATCCATAAATGGATTTCTCAAGCTTACACACTCTATTAGAGTACTCGTTGTTGACAAAACCTTCTGGCTGACTCATGTAAACATCTTCAATCAACTTTCCATTAAGGAAAGCGGTTTTGACATCCATTTTCCAAATTTCATAGTCATGAAATGCAGTTATGGCTAACATAACCCTAATAGCCTTAATCTTGGCTACTGGAGAAAAGGTCTCATGATAATCCACTCCAGGAATTTGAGAAAAGCCCTTTGTAGCCAGTCGAGCCTTATAAGTGTGTACATTACCATCCATGTCGGTCTTCTTCTTGAAGATCCATTTGCACCCTACAGTCTTACAACCTGGTACATTCTCAACCAAGTTCCAAACTTGATTGTCATACATGAATTGTATCTCGCTATCCATAGCCTCTTTCCATTTAGCAGACTCGGGGCCTGCCATCGCTTCCTTGTAGCTGTTAGGGTCATCCAGACCTACTAGTGTCCCATCACTAATAAGTGTCTCACCTTCTACAGTAATATGGAAACCATAGTAATGCTCAGGTGCACTCCTAACTCTCGTGGAACGCCTCAGAGGTACAGATTTGTCAATTGACTTAACAGGAGTTTCCTCCTCAAGTTGTGGGCTAGTGTTTGAAGTTCCCTCACCACTTGACTCTTGAATTTCTTCAAGATCAATTTGCCTCCCACTGTCTCCTTGGCTTATAAACTCTCTCTCTCTCTCTCGAAAGACTCCTCTTCTTGCTACAAAGACCACATTATCACTAGGTCTGTAGAAGAGGTAACCAAAGGATCTTTGTGGGTAGCCGATCAAAATACACCTCTCGCTTCAGGGTTCTAGCTTGTCATGAGTCTCGCGTCTCACAAAAGCCTCGCAACCCCAAATCTTGATGTGGTCTAGTTTAGGTACTTTACCAATCCACATCTCGTGAGGAGTTTTGGCAACTATCTTTGTAGGGACTAGATTAAGAATATGGGCGGCAGTCTCTAAGGCATACCCCTAAAATGAGATTCGTAGCGAAGCTCGACTCATCATGGAACGAACCATGTCCAACAAGGTTCGATTAGGCCTCTCAGCCACACCATTCAACTGTGGTGTCCTGGGAAGAAGGAAATTGTGAGACAGTCCCACATTCCCTAAGATAGTCGAGGAACTCTGAACTAAGATACTCACCACCTCGATCGGATCGAAGCATCTTAATGTTCCTGCCCAATTTATTCTCGACTTCCTGTTTAAATTCCTTAACCCTTTCGAAAGTCTGTGACTTATGCTTGATTAAGTAGACATATCCATATCTACTGTAATCATCAGTAAAAGTCAAATAATAACGATTAGCATCCCTTGTGGCATGTTTGAATGGCCCACACACATCTGTGTGTACAAGGTCCAACAAACCTTCACCTCTCTCACAAGAACCTGTGAAGGGTGACTTTGTCATTTTTCCAAGTAAGCATGATTCGCAACTATCATCTGACTTTGGTTCAAACGACTCCAAAACTCCATCCTTTTGGAGTTGGCCTATGCGTTTCTTGCTTATATGTCCAAGACGACAATTCCATAATGATGCTTTATCCAAGTTATTATTATTAACAGAATCAATACACAATACATTATTTCCTAAGTAATCAACCACAGATACTGTTTCATACATGCCATCACAAGGTAATGCTTTAAAATAAAGAACATTATTAAAGAAAGCATCAATAGAACCAACTTCATTATTAAATGAAAAGGTAAACCCTTGTTTATACAATGCATGAAAGGAAATAATATTTCTTGCCATTTCTGGAGAATAACAACATTTATTCAAATCTAAATTTAACCCACTACTGAGCGACAAAGTATAAACTCCAATCTTGGTGACAGGTGTAACTTTCCTATTCCCCATGATTAAGTTTATCCTTCCTTGCTCCACATTCTCACTTCTTCATAGTCCCTGCAAGTCACAACAAATATGAATACCACAACTGGTATCAAGGACCCAAGACTTAGAATGGCGTGAGTTATTAGAAATGATAGTGTAAATACCTGCATGGT